ATCACTTTTCTTTTTATCTTGAAGGTGACATGTACAGTGCTAATAAAATATTTTCCTTTATACTGTGTAAGATGCTAGACTAATGCAGGTGGCACTGAAGTCGCAACGTTACATGGCTCTCGTCCCTCAACACCACAGGGGCTGAAATCCACTCACTATGTACAAAAGAAAAAATTCATATATAATTATTTGGAACTTGTACAACATATCTTTTAACAACTAGAGAATGGAATTGTGATTAATATATATATATATATATATTCTTTTGGATTCATGCATGGTACCCACAAAAGTCCATTTGCACCGAGCATCAAGTGATACAAGACTATTTGGCTAGTTGCAGCCTCCTAGGAAACTTCCTAGTTACCTTTAAAGCAACTTATCCAAGCTTTCACGCTTTAGAAGTACATAAAGGAAAAAAAGTAACTCTAATTGGTATATTATTTTTTTCATTATTTTCGTAAAGTATTTTTTTTTTTTTCTTTAGTATACTTTTCCATTCAGAAACACTGCTTAACGATTTTTTTTCAACAATTATATTTGTATATTATCTAATGACATTTTATCAAAATATATATATATATATATAATTTTTAATACAATATTTAATTTTGTTAACTTATTTAAAATGAAATTACTCACTTTATGTGATGACTTAGACAAACTCTTACTTATTTAGAATAATCTTATTGATGCAAGTAAAGGTTCTTTTTTCTCTTCTCACAATCAGACTAAATAATAGAAAAACAAGTATCTTTATGCTTCTTTTTTTTCTCGTTTTCTTTTTTGACTTAAAAATTCATTGCTCACAGAAGCAACCGTTCCAACACTTGTTGATCATTTTATTTAGGAAATCATGAAGAAAAAAAAAAGAAAGAAAGAAAGAAAGAAACCATGTTAAAGCTACTCTTACATAGAACTTTCACATTTTTTCACCTTAAATATATAAAATGTAGGACAAGCATTATGTTTTATTCCATACTTAATTTCTTAGATTGAATCACATGAATTTATAAGGGAGCTGAACTTGTTCTATTGAGACTTGTAACAAGATATGAATTAAATCTATCAAAAATTAAATTAATTAAATAACCTCTATGAGTGCTAATTATTATTTGCTTTTACATAAATTCATATTCAATTATCTCATTTATTACTTTCATTCTCGGAAACAAACGTACCCCATACCGGTAACGTTAAATGTAACCCACGGAAAGCGAACCTTATGATTCTAATTGCAGCTGTCTCTTCGGCCACAAAATCATATATCCCTGGATTTTCACTAACGGCTATCAACGAAAACAAAAACATCAAATGTATATAAATAAATAAATAGTAAAAACAATTAAGTGCTTATAACTGGTTTTTTTTTATTTTATAAGTAACTGTTTCTCTTACATATAAGTTAAAGCAAAGAGACTAAATTTACTTCACTCTATTGTGAATTTTGTTTTTTATAACTATTGAAAGTGAGGTAAATGTGAATTCACTTTTTCTCATGCTCACTCCTCACAGAGAGCATGCAAGTTTATTAATTGTTTATGTTCTATCGCATACAGTAATTTATTTTCAATATAAAATAATAAATTTCAATTATTAAATTTTTAAAATTTCAGTAATTATGTATAATAGTCTATTTTTTAATATTAAATTAAAAAATTTTAAAAGTGTGAAATAAATTTATTCAAATTTTAAAGTTGAATGATAAAATATTACATTTAGAATTGTACATTTCATACATATAACATGCACTCTCTAAGAAAATTACATCATCCTCCTACTAAACAGTAAAATATTGTGTACAACTCATGTATAAAAATTATCTCACATGAAAGCGCTTTTTATTAAGGATTATTATATTTAAAATTATAGCATGTGATTTATCTTATATTTAATATGAATATTTTAATTTAATTTTTATTTTTATTGTAAAACATTAATATCTCTTTGATTTAGTCTTATTTAATATAAAATATCAATAATTATGAAAAAAATTATTTATTTTTTAAAATTTTATTAAATTTAAAAAATCATGTAATAAATATACTTTTAGTTTTTATTAAAAAATTTGTCTTTAATTATTGATATCTACGTAACGCACAAAAAGTTCACTAATATAAATTCTAAATGTATACATTACAGAGCGATTATAAACTACAAATTCTTAAAAAGATTTAATAAAAGCAGCATTTACATATATTATTTAAAATACAATTTATCATGAAGAAAAATTATTTTATAATTATTTTTATTAAAAATTTAAAATAAAGCATATGTACATTACACAGACCATGAACAAGTTATATGTAGAGCTGTAGATACAAAATAAATCTAAATATATTTTTTATTATGATAATATCATATAGTAATTATTTAATTTTTATTTTTAAAAGATAAACACTAATTATACTACAATATTGCAAAGGCAAAAGTATAATAAAGACCATTTTGATTAATCTAAATAAAAAATATATAAATTTAGTAAGGAAAATTATATAAATCTTTAGAATTTGTAAAGATCACTTCGATCTCTAATCATTTTAATAAAAAGAGTTAAAATAAATAAATAAATTTTATAGAGTTAAAATGAAATAAAAATTTAAACTACTTTAGGATTTACTCTGAACTGTATCAATTCTTAACGTTAATTGGTGCTTATTTGTACGGAACAACAAGACCCTGAAGCATACATGTCACCCAACCCAAATATACTGTTAAGACCTATTTGGTTAACGTGATGCGTGATGGTATAAGAAAATGATAGGATAAGATAAAGAAATAGACAAAAATAAAATATTATAAGATAAAGATAAGCTTTTATTTTATCTTATATTTGATATGCATTAGGAGTTGAGATAAATAAATAAAAAATAGTAGAATAATATTATAAATAAAAATATCTTTTATTAAAAATAATTTTCAAAAAAATATTTTCACTTGCATATAATATGAAAATATAATATTAAATTATAATAATTTTATTCATTTTTTACGATTAAAATTTATTTTTAGGAAAAAATTATAATAAATATAAAAAGTTTTAAAATGTATTTTATAAACTGATTAAAATATTTTTTAAAATATAATTTTTTTAAAATAATTATTATATTTTTAAAATCTATATAATTTTTAAAAATATTTTTATTGAAAATTCTCATATAATTTTTTAAAATATATTAAAATTATATATTTTTTAAATAATTATTTTTATAAAATAATAAAAAAAGATATAAAATATGAATAAAAACGTAATAAAAAATTATCTCATCTTAATAATTTCTGACCTAACACTTTCTTAAGATAAAAATTTGAAATATAATAAAAGAATATAATAAATTATTCTATCCTATTATCTTAATTGAAAATAAGATAAAATATAATATTATTTTATTCTACCATTTTGTCGTGGGCCAAACAACCTTCTAGTATTTCACAAACTCTACCTATTTATCAACGCTGAATAACTCATTTATTTTAGAAGTCAATTTTATAAGGCAATGGGTTTATTAAAAATACTCAAAAATAAAAGAAAAATATGAACTAACCGTGGGCTTTTTTATTTAAATAATGTCATTTTAAAAATAATTTCTTAAAATAAGTATATTTTAAAATTAATTTCTGGTACTTTTTTTTGCCAATTCAGCAGTAGTATTGCTGATACTACACAGAAAATTGACACATGTCAAAATCATATGTATATCGGACAAAATGAAACGATAATACATTTTTATTATTATTTTAATATATTATTGTCATATAATATCCGATACTCTTATTTTTTTAATCAATTTTAATACTATCGTTACACATTAACTTATACTTGTTTTTTTTTATTATTTTAAAAATTTATCATCTTAAACTCTCCTATACTCAATTTTTTATTTTAACAAAATTTGATCGTTATTTTTGCATCAATGAGGGTACTGTAATCGTGTATAGTATAAATTGCGATAGCATTTTGTGGGTTGTTCTTTGATTATAATCAAGCGTCATGTAAAATAAATCAAAATCATATTTAAACTAACAAAAATATTATTAGCTGCTGAGACAAGAAAGCGTAATCTATTCAAAGATGACTAGGTATTTTGATACATTCTCACTAGCTCAGAATCTGTCACTTTATTAAGTGTTAATGAATCATTTTCTAGGATATAGGATCGAGGCTTTTTTACTTAAATAAGAGTTAATGAATCATTGATGTAAGAGTAGCGATCAAATTTTGTTAAAATAAAAAATTGAGTACCGAAGAATTCAAGATGATAGATTTTTAAAAAAAAATAAAAATAAGTATCGATTATTGTGTAATGATAGTATTAAAATTGATTAAAAAAATAAGAGTATCAGATATTATATAACGATAGTGTATTAAAATAATAATAAAAATATATTATCATTTCATTTTGTCCTATATACATATGATTTGACACGTGTCAATTTTTGGTGTAATATCGACAATACTGGAACAATAATTTATTAAAATAATAATAAAAATTTATTATCGTCTACGATACTACTGCTGAGTTGGCAAAAAAAATACCAGAATTAATTTTAAAATATACCTATTTTAAGAAATTGATTTTAAAATGACATTATTTAAGTAAAAAAACCCTAACTGTGAAAGGCATTTCAATTCGTGGGAGTAGATAACAAGCACAAAACCACAATTACATGATCGATCATTTGATGATGTACGTAACAGGGCGCAGTGGACAACAAACCAAACCCCATAGATAATTCAGATTTGGATCCCATATTGCTTGCTGAAGAGTGAAGAGGGATCAATGCTATTTCAAAATAATGAAACTTTGTCGAACTAAATGGATCCCACATTAAAAACAAGAATTATCGAAACAAAGCAATAATATGCAGATCCTGCTACTGTTTGACTTCCCCTGCTTCTGTGTGCTGTCCACATACAAAGTTATTTAGTTTTCCATGACACAAGAAGGAAAATCAAATAGCAACTAAGAACCAAAATCATTCTCCTTTTGGCAAAAAGAACCACAGCCACATATGGCCAAAAGCACTAGAGCCCCTTTACTCCCCTCTCAACATTAATTGCAACATTTATCAAAAGCGTTCTAAAGAAATTGATTAGCTAGTTACCAAAGAAACTAACAAGACAAACAAATTCCCTAATCTCTAGTTCTAACTATGCCGATGCAAAACACTGTCCATTTTTTATTCAAGTGAGTTTCAGGGTCCTAACTCCTAAATAAACTCACAAGGCACAACCCAAGTTGATTCATCCAAAGAGTTAGTTTACAAACGAGAATTTAACAACCCTGACTAAACTAAGCTAAACTATAGCTAGTCCTCCATCTATCAAGGTAATAAAATATCTACAATCATTTATTTACAAGGGAAAGCAAAGAAAAATAAAAAGAGAAACTTGCAACCCAAGCAATGGTGAATAACTAAAGATAGTTGACTCAAACACGGTCATGGTTGCTACCATTGTTACCACTATCACTATAGTTACAACCACCACTGTCACCAACATCATTTCCGACACTCTTCTCAGAGCAATCATCGGCATCACCGGCGAAATTCTCCGCCTCATTGCCATCTCGTGCCACGGTGCCGATTCCGTCAGTCTCCAAGCACCGAACCCTTCTCCTCAACTCACCCAATTCCCTTTCCATGAGAAAAAGCTTCTCTTTGAGGGTCAAATTCTCTTCTTCAAGGTGTGCAATTTGCGTGTCTTGTTCATCAACCCTATTCTCCAACTTCTGTTCTTCGCCAGAATTGGGGTATATCATCTCGAACCTGCTCAAGTCGTGGTCCAACCGCTTCTCCACCGCCACACTATCGCTGACGTCGCCGGAATCTTCGCCGGAATTCTCTCCGGAGTCGTTCTTCTCATGCCGGAGTCGGATCAGGCCTTTCATGGACCCGTAGCCGTCGACCACCCACTGCTCCTTCGCCATCTCCACCACTAACTCCCCCGCCGGCAACATCGTCGGCGTGATCGCTGGCGTCATCGGACACGGCGACACCAACGCGATGCCGCCGGACTTCTTCGCCCGGATTAGGAACGTCGTCGTGTTGTGTGGCGCCAAAGGCACGTCGAGCCGTTCGTCGCCATACTTCCTCTTCGGGTGGTGAAACCGGCGACCCTTCCCGCCAGACCGGTTGGCCGTCGGCAGGTGAAATTCGTTCGGGTTTGGATTAGCGGGTTTGAACCCGTGGCTTGGACCCGAACCGGTTCGGTGAAATTTATTTTGAACGCTTCCCTTTCGGTTGACCCGACCCGGATGGGGGTTAAACGCTGGCGGGCGAGGGTACACGGAAGCGTTTTCCGGCGTGTAAGGTGCCGGCGGGGGATGCGTCCAAACGACGTAGTTTTGGTGGCCTTGCAAGATCTGAGACTGAGCCATCATTGGGGGTAGGTCGTTCATGAATAAAAAAACCTCCTAAATTTCACGGGAAAATGAGAGAGAAAAATTAAGGCGAAAAGAAAAACCCTGAAAAAGAAAAGAGGTTTCGTTTTTGTTTTTTTTTTTTTTAAATGTTTTGGAGATTAATTGTTGTTGGCGCGGAGTGGGTGGAAAATGGTGTCTGAGGATTCGTAACCGAAAGGAGAAAACTTGTGATGACGAAGGGAGAGAGAATGAGAAAGAGAGCATCAACGGTTAGATTTGAGTTTTGGTGAATTGGACGGTTGAATTTGATTGTGTTCATCAGATAAGAAGAATCGGGTTCGTAGGGTTTGAGGAAAGTAGAATCACAGTATAGTTCGGTATCGCAGTGTGCAATTATCACTTTTTTTGAGTTTACTATACTGCCACTGCCAAGTGCCATGTTTTAATGGATGCAACTTGTTGCACAATGTTCACCATTTTTAATTTTTTTGAGATATACTTGAGAAATGCATGGCAAATTTATTTAAATAATGTTAATTTAAAAACAAATTCTTAATATAAGTATTTTTGGAAACAAATTTTCTGTTAGGTGTTAATTTTGGACATATCAGCACCTATATTGCATGTGCATGTGCTGTAGTAATTTTTTTAATACATTATCGTTTAGAGGCAACCGATACTAGTTTAACTATGAACATGTGATCGGTAGGGATGACAACGAGTAGGGTATTATAGTATCTATCTCTATACCCGTATTTTAAAAAAATATCCGTACTCGGTTCCATACCCGCGTGGGTATGAATATTAATTCTCGTACCTGTACCTTCTGGGTACTTGCATACCCATTTTGTACCCATTACTCGTGCTTGTTTGAGAAAAAATATTTATAAAGAAAAATATGTTTATATAATTTTACCTAAATAGCATAATAATACAAAAATTCAATATGTAGTTGCCGAACAAGGTACAAACATAGATAAAAACAAATATTCAAATATCATAAATGTTAAATGTATCTTAATATAATAATTTTTTAAACTAAAATTTTTAGAAACAATAAGCAAAAGTAAATACATAAGTTATTTGTCAGTGATAACCCTATCTTGTGTGAGATTTGATCGATTGGTAATGTTAGAGCGACAACGAAATAGATTTGTACAATGATTGTCCCTTCGTGTGGGATCACTTGGTGACCTATTGTAACGATATTGACAACTAACTCTAATAAATAATATTTCATAGTTGTTAGGTTTTAATGAGACAAACATTGAGAATGAGAATAACGTTATAGTAGAGAAGTTCAATACTAATAACAGTAAGTGAATACATAAAATATTGTTTTTAACTTTTAAATTTAAATTTGTAAGAAAAATAATAGATTTAATTAAAGTAATATATATATATATATATATATATATATATATTAATACTAGTATTTTTAGCTCATATACTATACGAAAGTATTTTATCAAAAATACAAATTTTTGAAAAATTATTTTAATGAATTAAATATTTATAATGTATATAAATTTTAAAAGAAAGAATTTGAATAAAAGATAAATAGTTACAATAAAATTTTATAATAAAGAAATATACGTGTATATTAAAAAAATTATACTTTTTTATCTGAAAAAATTAACAAATAAAAATTAACAATAATTTTTTATATTTATATCTTTTCAAAAACTTCTTTGAACGTGAATAAATAGTAAAAATAATATTATTTAGATTCAATAGATTATAGTTGTACTTGTAATACATATGTTACATAGAAAAATATTATTTAAATTAAAATATAAAAATAAAATTTAAATATTATTGATAAATAATAAGTTTACGGTAATAGTAGGTGATTGTAAAATTTATAAAATATTTACAATATATTTATTATTTATCATTCACTTTATGATTTAAACATCAATATAATTTTATTAACAAAAATATTTGTGTAAAAAATATTTTATGTGTGTCATATATAAATAATATTTTAAAAAAAGTCAATCTCATATTAACTATGTAATAATTAAATTGTATTAGCCTAATTAAATGATATAAAATAGTAAATAAATTTTTTTATTAAAAATATAAACTAAAATAAATTTTTAGGTTTACTTTATTATTAAATATATTTTAATATTTGATCTTATATAATTTCACATAAGTAATATAATAATACAAAAATTCAATGCATAATTATAAAATAAAGTTTAAGCATATATATATATATACAGGTATGGGGCAGGGTTGGTACTTAGATATCCATACCTGCACCCATCCCCATTAAAATTTGCGGCTTTTTACCTACACTCATACCCGTACCCGTATAACGGGTAAATATCCTACCCATTGTGGGTAAATTTTGTGGATACTCATCAGGTACTTTATCCATTACCATCCATAGTGATCGGGTTAAATTTAGATAAAAAAATTAAATATAAATAAATAATTTTATAGTACCAGACAATTAAAGGCAATAAACGCCACGTCTTGAATAACCATTTGTATAGTCTGAATAGCGAGGATAACGTTTAAAATCAACGTCTAGGGAGAATTGGGACACATGTTCAAATTCAATCTAGTATCGATTTTGCCTTCTCGACTGCGCTATCAAAGCATCTATGGCAATATTGATTGTAATTAGGACAAGCAAAATTCTCGAAAGGGGTGCTGCAAAATGGCTTCTTGTTCCGCTCCTGCGCTGTCTTCCATTAACGCCGATGTGTAACATTTTGTGTATTATTGGTGTGAAATATTTGGGAACCATTTTTAATTTTGGCAGTGTTATTTTGTGCAAAATCGAAAGGTAGAAATATTTTATGAAAAAAAATATTTGTTGTTGTTCCTGCTGGAGAAACCTCTGGTCTGGCGTCCTTCTGAGAATTGCTGATGTGGGAGGGTATCTGCAAAAGGCACTCTGATAGTAAAGTCAGGATTCGGTTCTAAGCAATAAATGTTATTTAATAATGGGAAGTCAACCCCTCACCTGTATTTCCTACCTTCCTTTTATAGGCATTTTATTGGGCTGATGGGCCTTTTGAGTCAGCCTTTATACTGTGGCCTATTTTCCTGGTTTAAATAATACTTTGATTATTACCCTTAATTGGGTTATTTACCTTTTAATCTTGACGAGGGGTACCCAGCCTAGTATGCCGAATCGGTGCTCGGTTTCCTTTTCCTATAGGTGGGACCGAGTTGATTCCTTCTCCAGTACACTAGCCCCACAAGCCCGAAGAGTTGCAAAGAGAGGGCTTTTTAAATGCTAGTGGTAAGGTTGCAATAGGTAGTCGGTCAAGGTGTTTTTGACTATACCGAGGGGTTTATTTGGTTAGGGTAAGCTGCAATATATCGAGGCGGGTATCCGGTCTTGAGTGATGGGAATATTTAAACAATGTGTTAGGTTTATACTAAGAGGTAATCGGTTTAGTAACAAAGCGATACAGGCCGAGGTAGGAAATTATAGTATATAAAAATAATAAATTTACGAAGGAATTTTCTAGAATGTTGGTTTTTAGGGTTTGTCAACGGGTATATGAAACGAAAGGGTGCCTCACCTCATCCGTTGATCTGGAAGGGATCTGACGGTTCAAAACGAAAGGGCGTCTTTTCATTTGCCCGACATCAGATCCCTTATAAATATGTGGTGGTCCCTGCGTCCATTTTCTACTCTTTTGCTCTGTGCCGAAACCTGCATACCGTTGCTCCAAACCGAAGAGTGTTCAGAGATCTTAAGCTTTTCTTCCCTACCGACTACTTGTAAGGTGCGTTTCATTTTTTCACTTTTTTCTTTCATGGCTGATAGTATTAAGTGGGAGGATTCCCTGTCGGATGCCTCGGGGCCGAGTACTGTTGAGGTAGACATTATGAACAGAATTGAGGGGAGTGGCGAGGTTTCGTCTATTTCAAATAGGAGGGCTGAAGAAGCACAGGTCAGGGAATGCAGCAACGAAGCCGAGACGTCAGCTTCCAGTGATACTGACGCTTCTGAACCCTTACTGAGTACTAGTCCTCCTAGGGAAAGACAGGTGTTTCCTCCCTGTTCGATACCTGGTTATAAGTGGGTGCACGGTGAAGTGGCCGAGTACTTTTCTCATTTTAGAAGAAATAAAAGTCTTTAACTCTTTGTAGATAATTGTGATATTTCTTTGTGGGAGGCTTGTGACCCGTATCCTATACACCTTGACCCCTGTAAAGGGGACGAGGGCGAGAACCCAGACTTTGTTTTCCTGGGAGGTGTCGGGATGGCCGACACTTTCTTCATGTATGAGTACATGTTTAGGGAATTAGGTATCAGGCTACCCTTCGACGATTTCCAAATGGGGGTTTTGAGGGTATTGAATGTAGCGCCAACACAACTACACCCGAATGGGTGGGCGACAGTTCAAGCCTTTAGGATACTTTGTAAATTCCATTACATAGAGCCTAGTGTAGGTCTTTTTCTTCATTTTTTTTGTACACGTCCATCTGACCTAGCGAGGTGGGTCTCTCTAATAAGGCAACCCGAGTTGCCCTTATTTAAACCATATGCTTTGTCATTCAAAGGTTTCAAAACCGGTTTCTTCAAGGTGACCGTGGACCCTGTAGGTAGGAACTATTTTTTTGATAGCGAGAATAATCCTCTCTTTCCTTTTCACTGGACTCGGGTGTCGCGCCGATACGACATATTCTCTGAGGACATGTTATCGGCTAGGGAGCTGTCAGATTTGCAATTCCTGAAGTCCCTTCCCCGAGACCTTCCTGCCCGACATGTAATCCTCGTGCTCAAGTCTCCGCGTCCTCGCTGGGATATGCAGGGTATGTGTCATTTCGTTTCTAACTTGTATTTGGAATTGAGCTATATTGATTTGACTTGCTATTTTTAATGCAGGCTTAATGGCTCAGCGAGGTGTTGACCTGCTGACTTTCCGGCGCAATCTGAAGCAAAGGATGCCGGAGGGAACGCCTGTTGAGGAGCATCGCCATCCTCAAATTGATCAACTTCCCGAAGTGGCAGAACCTCTCCCTCCGCCCCGAGATGTTGTTCCGGCTGAAGGCCCTTCCAAGAAACGCAAGGACAAGGGTAAAGGCAAGGAACCCGATAGGAAGAGAAAGAGAAGGCATGCCCATTCGGGTGAGCCTAGCGGCGCACAAGGGGCTCGGAAGCAAACCCGAGTGGTGGCTGCTGCGGAAGGAAGCAGTTCCTCTTCCCTGTGGTTCCTTTGGACATGCTTGCCAAGGGCTTCTTGGCAAGCGGGACACATGTCGGCCGGCTCGCTGCTCCCAACTTGTTATCTGATGCAAGGAA